AATTGGACGCATAACCGCCAAATTTTATGTAGCTGTCTTTATTCTACTTTCAAATATTTAATATTACCTTTCAAGGTTGTGTAGAAACTACTTGAACCTATCAAGCCACTCCATAAAAGCTTTTAGGAACTTAGCTTTTAAGATTGTTGGAGAGCTACCCGAACCTGTTAAGTTATACCACAAAAATTTCAAGAAAACGTGTGACATACAACTGAACACACGATTGGCAATTCCCATGAATCTAGCTTTATTATTTTCCCGAAAATTTAAAATTAGTTTTTGAAGTTGTATGATAACTAGTCAAAAGTGTCAATTTATTACAGAGAAACGTTAACGATATATCTGGGGTAAAGTTGGGCACACGACTGCAAAATTTCATGCAGCTAGGTTGTGTACGATCTATTCGAACCTGTTAAGCAATTTTATAAAGACCTTAGTGATATGTTTGACCTACAATTGTGCATGTGACTGTCAAGAATCATTTATCTGACATTATTACTTTTACAAATATTTAAAATTAGCCTTTAGAGATGTATAGTAGCTTTCCAAACTTGTTAAGCCATTGCACAAAAACTTCAGGGATATATCTGGGTTGTATATATAATTTTCCTAAAAAATTATTTAAGAAAATTCTACTTTAAAATTTTTCTGCAACCGAGCTATTAAAAGTCTAAATATATATATGTATAATGTTTATATATATATATATAAACATGTATACATATATATATATATAATATTATATTAACTATTATTGTACACAAGATGGCGATGTCTCTTATTTTACAATTTTTCTGAATACGTCATAAAAATAAGGTTTTTGGGTTGTAAGGGCGCTACCCGAAATTATATAAAAACTAAGGATATATGGGCTATAATTGGACGCATAACCGCCAAATTTTATGTAGCTAACTTTATTCTACTTTCAAATATTTAATATTACCTTTTAAGGTGGTGTAGAAACTACTTGAACCTGTCAAGCCACTCCATAAAAGCTTTAAGGAACTTAGCTTTTAAGATTGTATGAGAGCTACCCTATTCTTATTTTTCTTTCTATGCTTATTTTTCTTATTATTCTTTTTTTTTGGAGAGCTACCTTATTCTTTATTCTACTTTCAAATATTTAATATTACCTTTTAAGGTGGTGTAGAAATTACTTGAACCTGTCAAGCCACTCCATAAAAGCTTTAAGGAACTTAGCTTTTAAGATTGTTGCAGAGCTAACCGAACCTATTAAGTTATACCACAAAAATTTCAAGAATACGTCTAGCTTTATGAATCTAGCTTTATTATTTTCCTGAAAATTTAAAATTAGTTTCTGGAATTGTATGACAACTAGTCAATTTATTCCAAAGAAACATCAACGATATAACTGGGATAAAGTTTGGCACACGACTGCAAAAATTTCATGCAGCTAGGTTGTGTGCGATCAATCTGAACCTGTCATGCAATTTTATTAAGACCTTAGTGATACGTCTGACCTACAATTGTGCATGTGACTGTGAAGTGTCATTAATCTGACATTATTATTTTTACGAATATTTAAAATAAGCTTTTAGAGATATATAGTAGCTTTCCAGCCTTATAAGGCCATTGGCCAAAAACTTCATTGATATATCTGGGTTGTATATATAATTTTCCTAAAAAATTATTTAAGAAAATTCTACTTTAAAATTTTTCTGCAACCGAGCTATTAAAAGTCTAAATATATATATGTATAATGTTTATATATATATATATAAACATGTATACATATATATATATATATATATATATATAATATTATATTAATTATTATTGTACACAAGAAATTATATAAGGGTAAAAAAACTTTAAGGGTATATAAGCTATAATTGGACGCATAACCGCCAAATTTTATGTAGCTGTCTTTATTCTACTTTCAAATATTTAATATTACCTTTCAAGGTTGTGTAGAAACTACTTGAACCTATCAAGCCACTCCATAAAAGCTTTTAGGAACTTAGCTTTTAAGATTGTTGGAGAGCTACCCGAACCTGTTAAGTTATACCACAAAAATTTCAAGAAAACGTGTGACATACAACTGAACACACGATTGGCAATTCCCATGAATCTAGCTTTATTATTTTCCCGAAAATTTAAAATTAGTTTTTGAAGTTGTATGATAACTAGTCAAAAGTGTCAATTTATTACAGAGAAACGTTAACGATATATCTGGGGTAAAGTTGGGCACACGACTGCAAAATTTCATGCAGCTAGGTTGTGTACGATCTATTCGAACCTGTTAAGCAATTTTATAAAGACCTTAGTGATATGTTTGACCTACAATTGTGCATGTGACTGTCAAGAATCATTTATCTGACATTATTACTTTTACAAATATTTAAAATTAGCCTTTAGAGATGTATAGTAGCTTTCCAAACTTGTTAAGCCATTGCACAAAAACTTCAGGGATATATCTGGGTTGTATATATAATTTTCCTAAAAAATTATTTAAGAAAATTCTACTTTAAAATTTTTCTGCAACCGAGCTATTAAAAGTCTAAATATATATATGTATAATGTTTATATATATATATATAAACATGTATACATATATATATATATAATATTATATTAACTATTATTGTACACAAGATGGCGATGTCTCTTATTTTACAATTTTTCTGAATACGTCATAAAAATAAGGTTTTTGGGTTGTAAGGGCGCTACCCGAAATTATATAAAAACTAAGGATATATGGGCTATAATTGGACGCATAACCGCCAAATTTTATGTAGCTAACTTTATTCTACTTTCAAATATTTAATATTACCTTTTAAGGTGGTGTAGAAACTACTTGAACCTGTCAAGCCACTCCATAAAAGCTTTAAGGAACTTAGCTTTTAAGATTGTATGAGAGCTACCCTATTCTTATTTTTCTTTCTATGCTTATTTTTCTTATTATTCTTTTTTTTTGGAGAGCTACCCTATTCTTTATTCTACTTTCAAATATTTAATATTACCTTTTAAGGTGGTGTAGAAACTACTTGAACCTGTCAAGCCACTCCATAAAAGCTTTAAGGAACTTAGCTTTTAAGATTGTTGCAGAGCTAACCGAACCTATTAAGTTATACCACAAAAATTTCAAGAATACGTGTGACCTATAACTGAACATATGATTGGCAGTTCCCATGAATCTAGCTTTATTATTTTCCTGAAAATTTAAAATTAGTTTCTGGAATTGTATGACAACTAGTCAATTTATTCCAAAGAAACATCAACGATATAACTGGGACAAAGTTTGGCACACGACTGCAAAAATTTCATGCAGCTAGGTTGTGTGCGATCAATCTGAACCTGTCATGCAATTTTATTAAGACCTTAGTGATACGTCTGACCTACAATTGTGCATGTGACTGTCAAGTGTCATTAATCTGACATTATTATTTTTACGAATATTTAAAATAAGCTTTTAGAGATATATAGTAGCTTTCCAGCCTTATAAGGCCATTGGCCAAAAACTTCATTGATATATCTGGGTTGTATATATAATTTTCCTAAAAAATTATTTAAGAAAATTCTACTTTAAAATTTTTCTGCAACCGAGCTATTAAAAGTCTAAATATATATATGTATAATGTTTATATATATATATATATATAAACATGTATACATATATATATATATATATATATATATATATATATATATATATATTATATTAATTATTATTGTACACAAGATGGCGATGTCTCTTATTTTACAATTTTTCTGAATACGTCATAAAAATAAGGTTTTTGGGTTGTAAGGGCGCTACCCGAAATTATATAAAAACTAAGGATATATGGGCTATAATTGGACGCATAACCGCCAAATTTTATGTAGCTAACTTTATTCTACTTTCAAATATTTAATATTACCTTTTAAGGTGGTGTAGAAACTACTTGAACCTGTCAAGCCACTCCATAAAAGCTTTAAGGAACTTAGCTTTTAAGATTGTTGGAGAGCTACTCTATTCTTATTTTTCTTTCTATGCTTATTTTTCTTATTATGCTATTTTTTTGGAGAGCTACCCTATTCTTTATTCTACTTTCAAATATTTAATATTACCTTTTAAGGTGGTGTAGAAACTACTTGAACCTGTCAAGCCACTCCATAAAAGCTTTAAGGAACTTAGCTTTTAAGATTGTTGCAGAGCTACCCGAACCTATTAAGTCATACCACAAAAATTTCAAGAATACGTATGACCTATAACTGAACATATGATTGGCAGTTACCATGAATCTAGCTTTATTATTTTCCTGAAAATTTAAAATTAGTTTCTGGAATTGTATGACAACTAGTCAATTTATTCCAAAGAAACATCAACGATATAACTGGGATAAAGTTTGGCACACGACTGCAAAAATTTCATGCAGCTAGGTTGTGTGCGATCTATCCGAACCTGTCATGCAATTTTATTAAGACCTTAGTGATACGTCTGACCTACAATTGTGCATGTGACTGTCGAGTGTCATTAATCTGACATTATTATTTTTACGAATATTTAAAATAAGCTTTTAGAGATATATAATAGCTTTCCAACCTTATAAGGCCATTGGACAAAAACTTCATTGATATATCTGGGTTGTATATATAATTTTCCTAAAAAATTATTTAAGAAAATTCTACTTTAAAATTTTTCGGCAACCGAGTTATTAAAAGTCTAAATATATATATATATAATGTTTCTATATATATATATTTATTTAAGAAAATTCTACTTTAAAATTTTTCTGCAACCGAGTTATTAAAAATATATATATATATATATATATATATATGTATATATATATATAATGTTTACACACACACATATATATATATATATAATGTTTACACACACACACATATATATATATATATATATATATATATATATATATATATACGTGTGTGTATGTGTGTGTATGTATATATATATACATATATATATAATTATATTAAGTGAAATAAAAAAAAATGTATACCTTTGAAAATTTAAATTTTTTTTTTTGTTATATAAAATATTATGGTAAAAGTATTTATAATGATTGTAATCAAAGTACATAATAAAAATTATAATATGTTAGTTTTAGGTACAACAAAATAGTTATATATACGTATAAATAGATTAATAATAAAATTAATAATAATGTGTAAGTAAAATTTATTCAAATTTAGTAAAATTTAAAAAAAATTTTTTTTAAATACTTTTATATTTTTTTTTTAATTTATTGTGCTTACTGTGAATTTGTATTAACAACATTCGTTGTACCAAGTATCATCATACTTTTAATATTAGCCACTTCTGATTCTAATCTTGCTAATTGAGATTTCAAATGTATATTTTCTTCCTTATCACTTATCACAGAAGATTTTTTTATATGTCCATTACTATTATTATTATTCACATTATTGTTGTTGTTATTACTACTATTTAGATTTTTGCGTTGATGATGTAATGTCCACTCAGTTGTACCAATTGATATACCAGAATCTCTTTCATCACTTGAACCTTCATTATCCCATGGTGGACTTGATTGTGATGATGGTAAATATTCTTGTTTAATATGCTGTAATGCTAATAGTGCTGTTGCTGCATCCTTATCACCCAAATGAGATTTATGACGTAATTTAAGTGGCAAACTATTATGTAAATCAACAGCTGTTACTAAATTGTCACCACATGTTTCATTATCGTCATCATTTGATGTATTCGATGATACATTACAATGTGATAAATAATCACATGGTGATGTTGAACCACCGTTATTATTATTATTATTATTATTATTATTATTATTATTATTATTATTATTACTATTATTATTATTACTATTATTACTATTATTATTATTATTATTATTAGTATTATTATTATTTTTATTATTATTATTATTGTTATTATTATTATTATTATTACTATTATTATTATTATTATTACCACGGTTATTGATACAAATATTTGTATTATTATTTATTTCATTCATGTTAGAACTGTTATTGTTATTACCCATGTCATTGTTATTAACATTACGACGTGATAAATTCAATACATTATTACCATTTAATACAACACCATGTATTGATGCAGCAGCAACAACAGCAGCTGCTGCTGATGCAACTGCTGCAGCTGCAACAGCTGATGCTGATGTTGGTGATGATGATGAACCAGATACTGATGACGGTGATGATGATAATGATGATGACGAACCGATAATTAATGATGTTGGGCTATTACAATCAATATTTGTTGTACCTGCTGCTGTTGATGATGATGTTGTACCGGGTGTTATTATTTTTGATGATAAATTAATTGTATGTTTCATTATATCATTGTATTCTCGATCATGTATATCGTGATGATGTTGAATATGATAATGATGGTGATGATTTTGATTATTATTATTATTGTGGTGTGAAGATAAATGTGGTGTTGTTGTTGCTAATTCATCAAGACCATATTGTTCAATATAAGGTGGCGGATTATTATTATTTCCTAATGTTATATTTCCATTATTATTGTTAATACCATTATTTCTTATTTCTCTTGTTGATGCAGTTGACGATGATGATGATGGCGAAGATAATGAAGGTGTTGCAGAGCTGTTATTATTACAACTAATTAAAGTACCATTATTTAAATTATTTTTAATTATTAATTTCGGCGATGACATCGCACGATTTAATATTGATGATGTTGATCCAGTTGGTATATCAATTTGATCATTTGATAATAAAATATTATTTGGATTAATTATAGTACCAGAATTTGTTGTATTATTACCAGAGAATGGTAAATGTCCAGACAAATGATGATGATTTGTATGTGAAAATATAGAATGATGATCATATGGCGATGTGGATGATGGTGTTGGAGCAGAAGATAAATTGCCATTATTACTACTGCTGTTAATGCTGTTATTATTTGAATTTTCATTTCTTTGATCAAATATTGGACGGTGATGAAAACTATTACGTTCCAAACGTCCACTAATATTCGATGATGAATTAGAATTATTTTGATTTCCATTATTATTGTTGTTGTTACTATTATTATTATATATATGATGACAGATATTATCATCATGATGATTACAATTAGTATGATGAAAATGATGATGATTTGATTGTAATTGCTGTTGCTGATGATATATTACTTTATTTTTATTATTATTATGATGATGAGAATAACTTGTTGAAGAAGTACTGTCACAAGATAGTATACTTTGATGTTGTTGCAGTGGATGTGGTTGATTTGAATGTTGTTGTTGCTGTAGTCCAGGTGAAGTTGAATTACTATTATTTAAATTCTTTTGATTTATTGTTGTACTTGTTGAATAAGAACGTGATGATATATAACCAATAGGTGAATTTAGTTGAGATGATGTTGGTTGATTTTGTAAAGCTGTTGATAAAGATGATGATGAAGAAGAAGAGGATGACGATGAAGATGAGGAAGATAATATATTTGTAGTATGATTTAATAAAGATGATGTTGTTGCTGTTATCGAGCTACCAATTGGAATGTTACTATCTCTTCCACTATTATTATTATTATTATTATTATTATTAATATTATTATTATTGTTATTATTATTATTATTATTGTTATTATTATTATTATTATTATTATTATTATTATTATTATTATTATTATTATTATTATTATTATTATTATTATTATTATTATTACTATTACTATCTATTAAAGAATTTGTTTGTAATGATGGTTGTATAACAGATGTTAAAATTGGACTTGATGATAATGGATAAATAATTGTTGGTGGTACTGTATTTGATATTTTAGCACGTTTTGTAATACTTAAAACTTGTTCACTTGTTGGTAATGTTGCTAATATTTGGTCAACGCTAACTAATTTTTCACCACATATATTAAATTTATCTCTAATGGCATCCAATTGAGCTTTAAGAACATGATTCTCTTTTGTTAACTCAACAACACGTTGTTCTAATACCATATCATTAAAACGTCTTTTTTCACGTGAACGTTTTGCTGCTTCATTATTACGACGTCTTCTATCCCAATAGCTCTCATCTTTTTTATTATCTGGTATAAATTCCCGTTGTTTACGTTGCGTAAATAAATCTTTACGTTTTAATTGATTCATTTCATAATTACTTTGTGAATAGCTATCATGTTGTGGTGACATAGGAGACATAGGTGATCTCGGTAATAATAATCCATGTCCTTAATTTTACAACAAAAATTAGAAATTAAAAAAAAAAATAAAATTAATTAAATATGCATAAGATATGATCAATTATTTGCAAATAGATTATGTAATTCCAACCTCATTTCTAATACCCTTAAGAGAACTTTCGACAAACCCTTTTACTTTCTTTTCCCTCCCATTTTTATATCCTTGTTTGTAGTTTTGTCAATTGGAGTGACTGTACCGATCCTCTTCCGAGGATTCCAATGTAATTTCTAATACTCTTAAAAGAATTTCCGACAAACTCTTTTACCATCTTTTCCCTCCCATTTTCATATCCTAGTTTGTAGTTTTGTGAATTGGGGTAACTGTACCGATGTAATTTAAGGCATTTGCTAATGAAATCTTTCAAGACCAAACATCCTTTTAACACGAATCAGTGCGAGACTCCGCAAGGCACCCTCTCCCACCCAACGCGGATATAAAACCGCACAACCTTCCTCCCGTCATGGATCAACGTTTGAAAGAAGGTGTGCTGGGATCATCTCTAGTAATTCATTCCACATCCTAAAAATATCAAATGTACTCTATGTGAGGAAACCTTACTCTAACATAATTACGTAGCTCTAAATTCCATTTACATTAACAAAAAAACCCTCTTTTTATTTGTAAAATTTTTATATCTTTCTAAAAAATTTACCTGAATTTGATCCATTTGAGTTACCATTAATTGATAACGCTGGTGAATGTGTCATACGCATATTTGATATTATTCCTGAGTCACTGTTATTTAAATTATTATTACTATTACTTTTATTGTTATTTGTATTGTGTGTTGGTGATGATGATGAAGTATTACTATTACCACTATTAATAAATGGTGTTCCTTTCAAACTGTTATGAAATGATAACGGTGTATTAGAATAATTTTGAGCTGGTGTTTCTCCGTTAACAGGGGAACTAGAATGATGTTGGCGGGCGACAAACTCCGCCACCATTATTTTTTCTCTTAAAACATCTGCAATAGATAAAAAATAAAAATTATTATAAAAAGGAGGTGCATATAACCATATATTTTTTTATAACATTTTTTTTAAAATTATTATGTTAAAAAAATGAAAATTTTAGGCAAAGACGCATATTTCTAATTTTTTCATTATTTATCTAATCAAATTAAACAATTGTGTTGACATAAATATCTTTTTTCATGTGTTTAAGTCATTTTTCGATCATCAATTTCATCTATTTTATATTTTAATTCAACAATAATTACAGCAACAACAATAGCAAGTTATAAATGAACATACTAGAAAAGTAAAAAACTCTAAGTCACTCACAAACTATGTTATGTAGTAAATTACAAATATAATATCAAGGCTAAAGTAGATAATAATTTAAATATAAGCGATTATGAAACAATAGTCACAATTGTTAAAGAGAATGAAAATTATAGAAATGAAGATAAAGAATTAAAGTTCTTAAAATATCAACTCGATGGAAATTTTTTCATACAACTGCAGAGCAGATGGGTGACGTAATCAAAGGAATGAGTAAAGACAGAAAAATTAAAAAATTTTTCTTCTCGAACAGGACCCGAACCAGTATTCTACCACTTTCTAGGTCGTTCTACCAACTGAGCTACAGATGTATGGAGAAATTGCCGACGAATTGTTCTTCACATTGCTTTATACTGTAATCCACATAATTAATAAGTATTGTTTACATTCAGATGCTACGTGCAATTTTTCATTTGAAACACACAATCTTAAGAACATGTATAAATAGGTATTGTGCCTATTACACTAATATACTGACTTACTAATACAACATGCAGTTGTTTTAATTAATAAGTATTAGTAATCATGTAAATATAAATTATTTTTAAAATAAAACATAAAATGCTACCAAAATATTTAACAAACAGATAAATTTATGTCGAAAATGTACACAATTACTGTTTAAGAAATATTTTTATTTGGGATTAAATTTGTCTAACAAAACTAAAACACAAAATATGTTACTGCATAACGATCTTAAATTGTTAAATAATCTGCTCTTTACTTTAGAAAGTAACAATTATATAAAAAAGTTTAGGAGGACCTTAATTAAGTACATAATTGAAAAAAGAACCGACTTAGTACCAAAATAAAATTTTAGATAAATAAGTGTTTATGACAAAATATGTATTAAGTTTAATAAAAAGTTTTAAAAAAAGTGATTTAATTTGTTAAATTAAAAAAGAAACATATATATAATAGTATTTATACTTAATAAAAACAATAATCAAAATAAATAAACAACAACAACATTAACAGCAGCAAAAGCAACAACAACAGCAGCAAAAACAAAACATATATATATATATAATAGTACTAATACTAAATAAAAACAATAACTAAAATAAATAAAGAACAACAACACAACAGCAGCAAAAACAACAACAACAAAATTAATGTAAAAAAAGCCAAGAAAAGTAATCTAATTCAAAAACTAATTTTTGCTTTTTTTACCCTAAAATTCTTTTGCAATCTCAAATTATTCTTAAGCTGAGCTCACGTGTCGAATTTCCCACTTAAATTTCTATTAATTACTTTTCGTAATTCAAATATAAAAACACAATTATAAAAATTTATGTATCCCGTTCATATAAAATGTATGTAGAATGATAATAGATGCGCAATCATATATGTACATATGTATTTCGAATTTTATTTTTATGTATTTGATATCATTACATGTAATGACATATTAGTAAAAATGTTATAAAATGTCTAAATACCCAAGTATCTACCGATTAACTATTATAGTTACAATTTTTATAATAATTTCGGATGTATATATATATGTACATATATATAGATTTTTTTTCAATGTAATAGTTACACATGTATTTTAGATTATGTACAATAAATAAGCTTTCAGGTGACACATAATAATTGTATATGCATAACAACTAAAGAAAACATGTGCATTTAATAAAAAATTTATTGATACAACAGTAAAGAACACGTGCATAATGCAAGTAATACTATTTGTAAAGAACAAGAAGAAAAAACAATCATTTCGTAATACTATGTTTTTTTTTTTTCTCTTTTTTTCTTTTCGCTTGTTTTACCTACAACATTTCAGTAACGTTAGCATAATGTTGTTAAATAAGAATGATGAGAATGCATGTCCTTATTGCTTTTTGAAAAGAAATGAACTCAGCTATTTTATAATTATATCTTTAAGAAAAATTTATACTTTATATTGAATTTTAAGCAGTGACATCTATTTTGCAGTAGCTATACTAAAAATTATATCCTCCTTAAAATGTTGTCATAGACATAGTAAAAAGAATAATAACAAAATTGGCTGGAGTCTATAATATGCTAATTATCTTTTTATATAAAATCAGAGACAACTATATTAAAATTATTATATTTTTATATAAAATCAGAGACATCTATATTAAAATTATTATATTTTTATATAAAATCAGAGACATCTATATTACAGTAGATATATAAAAGAAACAATAATATTCACTGTAGAATTTTATTCTAAACACATTTAGCTTGTATGAATATACAAAATATGTTGGTGTATTTTATATACTATATATTTGAAAAATTTTTATTTTAAAAACTGTCCACTATGATGTATATGATAAAAAAAAATAATAACAAAATTGGCTGGAGTCTATAATATAATAATTATCTTTTTATATAAAATCAGAGACATCTATATTACAATTATTATATTTTTTATATAAAATCAGAGACATCTATATTACAGTAGATATATAAAAGAAACAATAATATTCACTGTAGAATTTTATTCTAAACACATTTAGCTTGTATGAATACACAAAATATGTTGGTGTCTTTTATATACTATATATTTGAAAAATTTTTATTTTAAAAACTGTCCACTATGATGTATGTATTTATTTCTTCATATTAATATTTCAGCATTTTGGTTTTCTTTTTGGATAAATGTATGTAGTCTGTTATTTTAAATTTATTATCAGAAATCATTTAAGTTTACACCCAATTCACAATAAAATAACAAATTTAAATCATATCACTATTTTTTATCTACCACATTAAGTGAAAATTTACTTAAATGTGGTGAAAAAATAATAAAGTTAGTACTAAAATATATCACTTGAATGCATACATCTGGGATGATCAAAAGAGAAAAATGATTCACACAAATTGAATATACTGATTCATAAAATTCTGTATGATTAAATAAATTACTTTTTTTTTAACCAAAATTTTTCTAAAGTTTAAATACAAGCTGCGGTAATTGAACTAGAAGACATTTCAATTTATTTGCTTATGTTTTATTGCTACATGAAAAAAAAACTATTTTATATTTTGCTATTATCAAAAACGATGGCTGTTGAAAAACTAGTTTTTTTTAGTTACTAAGGTATATATTCAGCAGATTAAGAACGCCAAATTCTAACTAATTAGTTTTTGTGAAAATCTCTTGTTATTTTGAAATAAAAAAAATATAAAAATGTTTTTTTTTTTATATAAATTATTTTATTTAATCATTTTAATATTATTACATACAGTATTATAATATAGTTATTAATTAATACATTTTTTTTCTTTTTCTCTTTCAAATATTTTTTTGTTTTTTGCTTTCTTTTTATATTATATAAAATATAAACAACCTCCATTTACTAGTATAATGAATGGTATCGCATAAAAAAAAAACAATAATCAAATTAAAAGAGGCGGGATAGGGCGGGAGTGAGGGATCCTTGAAATAAGAGGCATTTAAAAAAATAATTTATTTAATTTTTTCCCATTTTTGTATATATATATAAAGAATCATTGTACATACCATTTAATATATATATATATAGTTTTTTTTATTTATTTTCTTTAATAATTAAATTCCAAAAAAATATTTTGTTATATTTTTTTCTAATTTTCATTTTTAAATATGTGTTAATTTTGTTGGTTTTTTTCAAATTTCAATTCTTTTGTTTATTTGTTTTATACAAAAATATAGTAATAATTTATTTTTTTTTAAATAATTAATAAGATCTTTGTATACAAATATATTTTAGTTTCGTTTTTAGCTTTTTTATAATATTAATATAAAACACCGTCATTTTATTTTTGTTCTTTTTTGTTGCTGTTTTAATTTTTGTTATACTTAATATGTTTTACGTAAAATAAAAAGATATGATAAATTGAATCCAATTATATTTTTACTTTTCTTTTATTTACATAGGTTTCGTATTTTACTCTAACTCATTCTTTTTTACTTTTTCGTTTATTTAAAAATTACTTTATTATAATCAATCAACTAAATATCTTTAATAATAAATGAAGTCCTTTTTTATATAATTATTAATATATAAAATATATTTTTTTTTCTTTTCTATTTTTATAATATAAAAAAACATTCTTATATACATAAACATACAGATTATTTATTATTCATATATATTACTTATAATTCATATATATGTAATTTTATAATTAAAAAACAACAAGATTAAATATTCTAATTAACTTAATTTAAAAAAAAAAATTTCAAATTTTTTTAAATACACACTTATGAATCTTTAAATACACACTTATGAATATAATGTATATATGTATGTGTAGTTATTAAATAAAATTTAAACTTATAAGTATATGCATGTATATTTATGTATTACATGAAGAATATATTTTTATTTTTTAAATTTACATGCTAAAATTTTTTTTATATAAATAATTTTTTTTTAAATTTTTGATTTACCTTTTTTTTTATTTTGTTTTTCTTTAATTAATAGGATTAATTTTATATTAAACTCAACACATTTTATTTTCTTACACATGCATAAATGTAAATTTACATTTTATAAATTAAAAAAAAAATTAAAATAATTATAGGACAAGAAAATATATCACTTAATATAAAAAAAAATTTAAATATATATTTTTTTACATCTCGGTATATAAATACGGTATAAAATTTACAATATTTATGTTTTTAACCGGTTGCACGTTAATGAAATTTCAAATAAGTAAAAACATTTCCGTCGATTTAAACCGAAACAATTATACAATGCCGTCTTTACAATTTGAATGCAAAAACTTGTTTTTGAAATATTTAAAATTAGTTTTCATGGTTTTGTGACAGTTGCCTGAACCCGTCATACCATTCGACGGCTATATGTCAAGTTTATAATTGTACACACAATGGCGAAGTATTTTACTTTACTATTTTTCTGAAAACGTATTAAAAATAAGGTTTTGGCTTTGTAAGGAAGCTAACAAAAAATTGTTAAGCCAGTTGAGAGATTCTCTAAAAACTTTAAGAATATATGGCAGTCTATCGTTTATTAAAACTACAGTTTTAATTACTCACAAAACAACAACTCTCAACCGGGCGGTTAATATTTAATTTTATGTCACAGGCAAAAATCCCTGGCATAGTGCAAATTTGTATTGAATATAATTGTGCCGCGGCGGCGGTCACCACCGTGCTGGCAACTTACAAAAATTTTACTAATTTTAAATAAAAAATTATAAAAAGTGCCACAACATTTAAAAACAATTAAAACTTTACCTAAATAATAGTGATTTATGAAAAACATTGTCGTATTAGTGTTTTAATCTCAAAAAAAAAACAAAATCAAAAACATTTTGAACAAAAAATATAAAAACAATCATTATTTATAATTTAAGATACGTTCAATACAAAATTTGAAATATAGGTGTGTTCAACACTGAACTCTTGAAAAAGATGTGTTCGACAAAAAATTTTTTTTGACAACGTCAAAATCGGTTTCAAACTTTTTGACAATGTCTAATTTGGGAATAAAATTTCAATTGGAAACGACTTTTAAACTAAAACATTGTCCGTTTTTACTATAATATAAAATTTTGTTCTTGTGTGTTTGAAAACAACTTTAAAAAAGGACTGTAGTAGACGTGGTGGTGTACCCCATGGGCACACAAAATAGGTTCGAGCTCCTTCGTTCACTTGAGGGTGACGAGGCGGGTATTTTCAGAAAGAAACGAAAATCCAGACAGGAAATCACAAATGATTTTCTGAATTTCCCCGTACTGGGCATGAACTCGAGCTGTAAATCAAGCGAGTTAATAAGGTACATTACCGTGAAGACCCAAGACGAAAAACGACCCATCAGAACATACAAAATCTTCCTTGTAACTAAATTAATTCAAGGTGTTAGCAATTTGGCAAAGCCCACCTTCAACAGGGAGGGAAATCTTGTGATCGAGGTGCCAAACAAAATTATCGGAGAAAAGTTAATAAAACTGGACAAGTTAGGCGACATACCAATCACAGCAGAATATAATGAAGGTCTCAACACCTGCAGTGGAACTTTCTTCTGTAGATATTTAATCTTTATGTCCGATGACGAAGTACTCCAGGGGCTCAAGGAAAAAAATAACGTTTTAAAATCTGGCGATTTAAAAAAAGAACTGAAGTTGGTGGATGCACAAAGGAAGTGTATTCAGGCTTGATCCAGGTAACCTTTGACTGCCTTGAACCACCAAAGGAAATCAAGGTGGGTTTCCTTATAGTACCAGTACGAAAATACTAC